TCCGATGAATAAACTTAGGGCTCTGAAAAACGTCCTCTCGGCTTTCATCTGGCACACACCTCCAGCACGGAGCTGTCTGCTGGGGTGCGTTCAGTAAGTTCACAACCCAAGTTGGCCAAGTTGAGCTCATTTCAAGGTGCAGGTTCAGCAGGCTGCAGGGGCCAGCTGGGGAGCTACGGGAGGGGCTCAGAGCCTCCTGGCCTGACGACAAGAGTTGTCCAAGGGGTTCTTGTTTTCTGCCATCAGCGTGGGGACTCCCCCTTGTCCTCACCATTTTCTTTTTTGGATGAGCTGAGGCTTGTGGTGCTGTCATACAAGGTGTGTGGTTATGGATGTGGAGAGTTGAAATCCTTCTCTATTTTTAAATTTAGTTGCTGGGGAGTCTTTTTAGTCCATCCGGGGCTTCTGCCCCAAGTTGAGTTGCTAAACCTTCAGCTCTCCATTTTCCCATCTACCCTTCAACCGTTGACAGGCCTGTAACTCCTTCTCTGACTCTCAATTTCTGCATCTCAAAGACGTAACTAACAATGGTATCGGTCAAGTATGTTCAAGACTTGGCAAAAAGTCTTGGCATTCACTATATTCTAAGCGTTATTATTACCCCAAGTCATTTCATAATTGGGAGCCACGAGGAGCAGGGCCAGTCTAGGAAAGACAACGAAGGCACAGGCAGGACTTTTTCTCTGGCCACCGATTTTTAAGAAACAAGCTCACATTTGTTTAGCTTGTTTCCTCAAGAGGTTTTGGGTGGGTGAGACAAACCCAACATCCTGTATAGATTTCTGTTATTTTTAATCTCTAAACTGTAGGAAAAAAAACCAGGGGCAGACCTGCCCCACGTCTCCACCTATCAAGACACCCAAGACTTAATGCCTGGGTGTCAGTAACTGGGATTGAGCCAAGGAAAACCACCTCCAAGTGTCATCAGTGAAGGAAGATGCCATCATCCACAAGTGTGAGAGACCACAAGTTCTGGCTGAGGGGGAGGCTGGCATTGTCTTTATTCCGGAGCAGTTCCAGAGCTGAGAAAACGAGGAGGATGGACATCCTTAATGCCTTTTTGGGCAGTTACCAGGGGATCCTTGGGATGGGTTTGGATGTCTCGAAGAGGAGCCTGAGGTTTTCAAAGACTGGAAATATGCCATCCCTGGTGACCCCAGAGACCACCCAGAGCTGGATTCAGGGCTCCAGACTGCACCTCTCTGTCTAGCTTCTTCTGTCCACCATTGTTGGACCCCTTAGGGCTAACAGAAAAATATCTTTAAAACAGGAGGCATGTGTTCAGTTTCAAAATAATAGTCAAAGTCTCCTTGTGATTGGCATATGCAATGAAAGTAATTAAAGTCTCTCTTCCCCACCTCCCCCCCGCCCCCCACCAGCTACATCCTCTGATTTAAGTGTCTGCGTGGTATGGGAGAGATGGATAGATGGAAGGTGTACTAGAGAAAGGCAGAGGCGCGTCATTTAATAGATGGAAGCCCAAGGGGACCGGTTTGTTACAGTATTCACCAGTTCAGAGAAAGTAAGGAAACTGCCAAGGGTTTTTTTGTTTGCCTTCTGTGAGCCTGTGTGTGGGTATGTATGTGAAAATCTGCTTGGGGAACACCAAGGTGAAAAGAAAAGAGCTGCAGAGTTTGTATAAATTGGACTGGTAGATGAACCTCCCCCATTATCCATCTGTTACCAATACACTCTTGTGTAGGGGAGGGCTTGCCAGAGGATTTAGCAGCACCTGGCATGATTCAGCTTCATCAGAAAGTGAAGCTTTCCTCCAGGGGCTCTAAGGTCATCCTCGAGGCAGGACCAGGGCCAGAAGCCCTGTCCCCCTGCCACACTCTCCGCCAGAGCCTGGTCACTCATTTCGATTTGGCAGGTATCCTTTGACAAACTTTGACACCTTGCTGGGTGAGGATGTTGGGGGTGTGAACACACAAACACACGAGAAACGTCAGTCCTATGTATATTTAACAATATATATTTATATATATTTTCTAGATCAGTACATTCAGTTTTTAACTTGCTTTTTCTTCACAAACAGAAGAACTCTTACAATAGTAGACTTTCTAAAATAAATACTATTAAAATAGAGCTTCAAAATAAATATTCTATACAAAGGAAACCTTCTGTGGTAACTTTTGATGTGGGGTGAGAAAGGGTTACAGTGAAGAGGGAAAATGTGCCGGGATGGGACCCTTGAATAGCTTTTCTGTTTCTAACACAAAACTGAACTGTGGGGCAGTGAGAAGAGAAAGCAAGACAAGACACCACACCAAGTTACCCACAGCAAAAATGGCAGCTTAAGATTTGTCATCGACTGTCACAGTAAGCAGAGGGCATGAAAATGCTTACCAACGGCATAAACCAGAAGGCCAGTGAAGTTCATAGGATGCCCTAGTGACGTGTACAGTGCAAAGTGGTGGTGCCTACACCCCTCCGGACACCTCCTGGGGCAACACAGAGACCATGAAGGTGACGGGATCTGGTCCCAACCCACACTTTCCACACTTGGGACATGTCATAATCTAACTGGGCCTCACTCGATGTCAAGTGGGATGTATGCAGACTCCAGAGCGCTGAAAGAACCAGACACATCACATGATAGTCTTCCATCTGTCAGTTGTGAAGGGGCCCGTATCAACAGCAGGGCCAGTGAGGAGCCTTGGTGTACCCCATCTTCTACCTAGAAAGGCTTGGCTCTCCTAGACCCAATTCTCAGGGCACTTGCTGGAGTGTTGGGACTTTACGAATCCACCCTCCAGAGGAAGCAGCTGTGGCCCCTTAGGACAAGGGTCCTGGGCCCAGGCTTGTGGATCCCACCCCCAGATCCAGGCAGAACCACCAGCCATCCCAGACTGAACCTTAGTGGGAAGCAGCTGGCACTCTGCTAAAAAGGTCAAGATGAGGAAGCATAATACAGCCAAGCGAGCCATTGGTCACAGGACACACAATCAGCCAAAAGTGGCCCCAGAAATGTGTTGTGTTCCTGAGAGCTTGATCCCTCAGTGGCCCTTGACTGGCCCCTGGGGGCCACAGACAAGCCAGTTTTGTTTTTTCTTTTTGCCGGAAAAACATGCTGAGGGACTGCTATGCAACAGAGCTGGGAGAACGAAAGCTGAGCGCACGGGACACAGAATTCTGCAGACGTCCACCCAGCAGGCTGGATGCAAACCAGCAAGAACAAGCCAAAGCAGGGGAAGGAGAAAAAGAAAACCAGACCCAGAAAAATCCGTGTTTACAACTATATACACAAAGTCGGGGTTCAGGAGGCTACTTGCCAGCAAACAAGGGTCTCTGTAGAGATGGTGGGTAGGGGTAGGGTGTGTGTGTGCACAGCTTATGTAAATCAGTTCTCCACAGCATGGGCACGTAGAACACCAAAGATCACCAAAGTGCAACTTGCCACTGGGTCAAGCTTCCCGTGGAGACATTTGAGGGAGGGGCTTTGGGGAAAGTTCTGAGGCCTCTCCCAGAGTGGACGTATGCCCTCTCTTTTTGGGGGTAACCTTTGCACACCTGTTCTGAGGAAAACCATCTCCAGTCCCTTCAGTACACATCTGATACATTCAATTAGGACAAGTGGTTGGCTGAATGTGTTTTTTCTATCATTCCCTCTGATTTGTGCAAGAACATCCATACATCCATGACAACTGTGACAAGGGTAGCTACAGGAATCAGCCTTAGAAATGCAGATGCAGTATTTCATATTCGCCTTTTACAAGCTAGCAAATGTTATATAAATAAAGCCTAAAATAATAAGACCATCCCCTCCTTTCCTCCAGTCAATAAATACCTACAGTTATAATTAACTTATTCTAAATCATAAGATGTTACTACCAGTCTTCAAGAAGGAACGAAAAAAAAAGTCCTTGAGAAGCATTGGGTGCTTGACCATCACAGCTACCTGCCTCCTTCCAGGAGGCTGTTCTGTTCCTACAGAACAAACTGAAGTGCTACAAAGGCTGTGCCTAGTACACTTCCAACATTGCCTCGGGGTAGCTCTTCTGACCCAAGCTACTTTCTCTCACGGCGGGGAGGGGGAAAGGGAGGAGGCACAAAATACCACATGAAGCAAAAACCCCACACAATTGCTGGGGAGTAAGGACCAGACACACTATAGCTTTTGCATGCAACAAGTACCTACCCACTGGACGAGCTGCGCTTTCTGAGTCCTTTAGCACCTTGAGAGAGAGTTGCTACGTCTTTGGGGGCTGCTGGGAGGGGCTCATGTGGCCACGCACAGAAGCAGGGCTCAATCCCAAGAAGCCCCCCGGAAAATCTTTCCCCCACCGGCATTCTTCTGACTCCCCCCACCAGGGCCTCTGAACACTAAAATAGACTCTTTTGTCACCATCTGTCTATTTACATTAAAGATACACTGTACACAAAAGGCTAGGACAGCAAGCAGCAGAATCAGGAGAGAAGAAGCCCACACCCAGCCGTCACTCTGCCAGCGCGAGGTGCTGCCTCTCTTCTCTGCTGTTAAAATCTTCTTCTTGGTGGGGAGGGCGGGGGGCGGGATTGTGTTCCTTGAGGTTGCTCGCCCCCCAGATTTTGAAATCAGCCCTTCCTGGGGGTGGCCCAAAAGGAAGCAAGTGTTTTATTATTATTTTTTAAAACACCATTAGTATCTGATATAAAAACATGTAACGACTGGATCCAGAGACCACAGCCTCAGACTCATTGGCAAAATGCTATTTGGTCTCAAATTTGCTGCCCCGGTCTTCTCTACCCATAGTGAAGTTTCTGGAAAAGATCTGAGTAGAGAGAGCTGGGGGCACACAGCAGGCAGGTGAGTCTGTGACTCAGTAAGAGCCAAAGGACGGTATTATGAGTGGAACACCCCCGAGAGTTAGTGAGGAAGCTGGAAGGGAGAAAGGTATTGTGCAGTGGTTCCTAAATCCGTCCATGGCTCCAGGCAGAGCAAGGAACGAGGGGCGCGAGCTCCCGAGTATATACAACAGGGATTGCCAGGGTCTACACCTTCCCCAAGATGGGGCAGACTAGGGTGGAGACTGGGAGGAGAAGAAGGTACAGATGGTAAGACTCCAAGCGTCTTCTTCCAAGTCCCCTGGCCACTCAAGATTCCTCCCAGGCAGCCAGAGAGAATGCAAAAGAGCAGGGAGAAAGCGAGGGAGGAGGAGGGCCAGGAAGGCATTGAAGCAGCTGCAACTTCCGGATATGTGTCCACATCTGTGTTCCATCTTCTGTAAAAGAAAAATCGCCCCCAAACCACACCACACCCCTGCCACTGTCTGTTTCACACAAAGTTCCAGGATCCTGAACAAAACAACCCCAAAGTGCTTCTTCATCCTTTTGGGGAAGAGAGGGGTGGGTGATGGTGGTCCCTGTTTCTTCAGCAGCTGGGGGTAGGGGGTGGGCAGACTAGCAGAGTCAGCCTCAGGATGCTAAAACCTCTGGCTGTGCTGTGGTGCTCTTCTCAGGTGTCAGAAGGGAACCAGGGTTCCAGGCGGAGTGCTGGGACTTGACCCCGAGCGTCAGAAAGGCTTGTCGGGTCTGCTGGCCTTGGCATCCCCGGCGGCCGCCTTGCAGATGACACTGTTCGTGTGCTTGCAGCGGCACCCAGGGCGGCGCAGGTGGTCGTAGCCGCGCTGGGCCAGCTTCACACAGCCAGTGGCGGGCAGGTAGCAGAGCAGACAGGGCAGCACCAGGGACAGGGCCCCCATGAAGGACCAACGGGCACAGCAGTTTGAGCGGGAGCAGGAGCAGGGGTGGTCGGCGCAGGAGCCCTCATCGTCCTCGTTGGTGCAGTGGTAGAAGATGCCCTGCACCAGGCACATGCAGGTGCCATAGTTGACCAGCGTCTGCGCTGAGCACAGGCACTCCTGGTTGCAGACCCAGCAGGAGGGCAACGTCCGGGGGGACGCGCACTCCTTGCACTTACACTTCCCGCAGGCCTCGCACAGCAAGAAGTGCTTGTCCAGCTCTGGGGGCCCAGCGGGGCCCTTGAGGTCCAGTGGCTTGCAGTGGATGGCCTTGGGCTGGATGCGCACAGCCCTCGGGGAGGCCTGATCAGCCACGGGTGGGGGCGCCATGTGGTCTAAGAGGCGCTGGTCGGAGGACGTGCTGCTGCTGCTGCTCACAGAGCTCGGGCGCCCGCTGAAGGAGATCCAGTGGTGGGTGACGTCCTGGTCACAGCGGGCCGGGGCTGGGGCCAGCTCTGGGGCTCCACCCCGGGTCCGCTTGGGGCCAGAGGGGGGTGCCAGGCCAGGGTTGTCGATGTAGTCGTTCTCCACGTGGCTGGTCTTCATCTGGTCGATGGGAAGGATGGTGAGAGGGTGCTGGAGCCGGCTGTGGGCCGTACGGCTGTCCAGTAGGGGCTGGACCATGACTGAGCTGGGAGTCAAGGGGACGCTCTGTGGGATCGGGGGCTCCATGGGGCCGGAGGTCCTGGGATGTGCAGAGTAACAGGCTTCTAGGGGCCCTGGGTGGGGGGGGGAAGGAAGAGAATGGATTCCAGGCATCAATAGGTGGCCTGTTAACACCCCCATCCACCATTAGGTCCTTGGGAGCCCAAATGAAATAGGATCCCTTTGGTGGACTACCCAGCATTAAGGCTTAATGGTTAGTATTAACAGCAATGACAGTTTTAAATGGTAGAAATAATTTATTTAGCACTTACAAGGACTCTTCTAAGCATCATACTATTATGTTATCAACTTTTCACAATGACCCTAGAATGTAACTACCATTACCCCTTTTCTAGTTGTAAGAAACTAATGTTCAAAGTAACTTGTCCAAAGTCACACAAAACCATCAGAAGCAGAACTAGGGCTCAGACTTGGGCCATCCAGGTTCATTCTTATAATCCCCATGAAACATGCTTCTGATTTAAGACAGACAGAGCTTAGCAGTTAAAAATGCAGGTTCTGTAATTATATCAAGTTCAAGTTCTCACCTTTGCCTAGCAGTGTTGCTGTGAATGAGGTTCTTTAACTTCTATGCCTTAGTACTGTCACCTGTAAAATGGGTTCTTGTGAGAACTAATTGAAAAAATGCATATCCAGAACCTAGCATTTTGCCTGACACACAGCACGTACTCTTAATTTACCAGCATCCCAGAAAGCAACCGTTTAGATTTCCTGAGCACTAATAAGCACGACTAATAAGTACCAAGTGTTATGCTGAGTGCCAGGATGTAGTGACTACAACAGTCAGTCCCTATGTGCTCCCATGGAGTTTTTATCACCTAGATAAACAAAAGCGTTTATTTCAGATAGTCACAAGAGAAGGAGGAGATGTATCTGATGCCTACACATCCAGGATATTAACTCATTACCACTACTTCTAAGAGCAACAACCTCCAGTGGATAATAACCCCTGGGCAGGTGTCCTCCGACAACTTGGATGGGAAATCCTCTCTGAGGGGCACTCACTTCACCCATTTCCAAATACTGAGCTGAACATTCAGCCTAAATGCTGTTTACTAGAATAGCTAAGCCAAGCCTGGATCAGTTTCTAATTTCACTGAGAGAGTGCAATTTTAAGTTGGAAACTGGCCAGAGATTCAACTGCAGTGCCTGACATGGAACCCCAGGAAGTCACTTAAATCAAAGAGCGGAAACGGCTTGGTTCAAATTTAGAAAGTGCACATTGTTTTCTATTAGAAGTGCCATTTCCTCGCCTGCTGACCTTTACATTCGGAATTCGGCTGGAGATCAATTTAAAGAAATAGCAGCAGAGGCCAAGACCTCTGCCCAATTTGGAATCCCAGAGAAAGATTAGACTCTGGGAAGATTCCACTGGGCTTGTGGCTGGGGGACAGAACAGACAGCCAGGGTGAAGATTGAAGGAGATCATAACCACCTTTGAAAAAAAAAAAAAAAAAAACCACATTGGATTAATGTGCTATGGGGTAGGGTTTCAGTAAATGCTTCTTCAAGATGCTAATAATGTTCTAATTTGGGGAGCTGACACTGTACCTCTGCTATTAGGTTCATCTTGCCTTAAAGGTGATACCTAAGGACTTCCCTGGCAGTCTAGTGGTTAAGACTCCCAAGTTTCCACTGCCGGGGGTGGGGATTCGATCCCTGGTTGGGGAAATAAGATCCCACATGCAGTGACAAAAAATGAGAAAAATCCTTAAACAGAATAAAAATGAAAATACAACACATCAACTTAAGAAACAATTAAACTTAAAAAAAAAAGTGATACCTAAGAAGAGGATGTGGATAGGTTTCTACTTCCAGTTCTAACCTCACATCCCTCCAGACTTGGGCCACAGCTAGTCATCCTAGTATTCCAATTACAGGAGAAGGATACCTGGCTCTGAGTGACACATCCATACTTATCAACGTCTATAATAAAGAATGAAGAGAGAGAGAGAAAAAAGCCATTCAGGACAACACTGCATTCTACTTCCTCTGCTTGGAAACAATGGTTTGATTAGAAATGGTTCAGTTGTTGGGGAAGGACTTCCTTAGATGCTTTCCAGCCTGACTGAAATAAAGAGCTCAGTCTAGGTGCAAAGTTCATGAAGTGAATGAAAGGGAGCTTATCCCTTTCTCATCTGTGCACTGCAAAATGCAGAAAAAAAGCACTAAGTCTTTTCTACAAGGTTCACTGCTCAGTCAACTGATATTTCCCCTTCACAAAGGCTATGAACCCACAAAGGCTGTGGGCTTTGGTCCCACAGCCCTATCTACTTGAGATGCTGGTGTTTCCGTGCAGAGTTTTTCCCATTTCGGAGAATGTGTGCCTAGGGATAGCCTCTCTCCTGCCTCGTCATGTCAGGAAAGCATCATCTTCAAAGAGGAGACTTTCCTATGGCAGAGTTTGACTTCAGTGTCAGGCAGGTCTTCCACCAAGAAGCCATTCTTTGCTGAGACAGCCTCGTTTAGGGGTCCTGGATTTGGGGCTGGATGGGAGATGTCAGTTGAGCATTTTGGGAGAGGATTTTTTTCTTGGCTCAAGCCAGTCATGGGGCAAAACTTCAGAAATGCTAAAGTGGGCTCACTTTGTTCTTTGCAGGGATTCCAAAGCCTTCCTTCTAGAATAAATGGGTTTGGGGTCAAAAGAAGAGGGTTAGGAGCCCTGGGTTTCAGCTCTTTGCCTGGAGAGAAAGGTGTGACTAGGCAAAAGAATGGAAAATGCTGACAGAGGCTCAGGAGACGACTCTCTGGCGCCAGCCAAGAGGTGCCTCCGCCAGAACCCCCACCCTGGACAAAGACAACGTGATTCCCTCATGTCAGAAGCTCAGGTCCCAAAGCTCAGGGTCCTGCCAACAAAACGCCAGTGGCAGTTTGAAGGCCGTGCTGCCCGTGTAGTTGTGCTTTCCTGAGGACCCGGGCTGGGACTTGCCATGCCGTGGGTACTCCCTCCCCTAAACTGATTACCCACTCTCCTTCCTCTGATTCTATTCCTGAGAGTCTTTAAACAATAAGCACACTTTCTATGCATGAATCAAAAGGCATGGGCAGTGCTCAGGGATTTTAATAGGCTCTGGAATCACTAGGCAGATTCAAGGAAAAGTCCCACCAGGAAGCCAGGGTGGGGACAGTGACTGCTGGCGACGGGATATTGGCATTACCCCACTCCCATCACCCTCCAGAGGCAGCTGTCAACATCTGGGTCTGCACTTAGGGTCAGACAAGGGGGTGGGAGCTGGGTCCCTGATAACTTAGCTCTCTTGGGGCAAGCCACGCCCTGGATGGCTCCAGCCGGCATATTCTAAAATGCATCTTCCCCATCATAACACTCATGCAGGATTCCTTCTGGCTATAGCCAGCAGCTGGCTCAGACCTATAGGTCTCCAATCTTCTCAGGCCTCATCTCCTAGTTAGCTGGGACCGTCTGTGGACGGTTGAATTCATTTGACTCACAAGAAAAAAAATACTTGCCGATAGCCTGAGGGATTACACTTCAGCACAGCTAAGTGAAGTTTCAAACCCCACCTCCCCATTCCTCGGTTTCAAATCGATCTCTACTCACTGGGACACACCTACCACGCAGTCTACCCAACACTGCTGAACTTAAGTGCAGTTTAATATGTACTCTGTTTCCCCTGCAAGGAAGGAAGAGATTTGTAATATAAATAGGAGAGAGGAGGCTTTTGCTTCCTTTAGGTCGTTTGGGAGACTGATGGCCCATTTGGAAGACTGTGGACAGAGAAGCAAAGCCAGCACTCCACTTAGCCAGAGAAGTACCTCTGTGGAGTTGTAGGTGACAGCCTTATGGATTAGCACAAGGAAAGGAAACTTTTACCTCCACTCCAACTTTCTAATAATAATTAATAGTTAGGAAAGCATCTAGTATTTATGACATGTTTCTTGGTGCCAGGATCTCTGCTAAATCCTCAGTGATGTTCTCCCTAAATCCTCACCATCACTTTGGAGAACAACACCTACTTTGCAGAGGAAGAAACAGAAGAACAGAGGGTCATAGAGCAGCCAAGTGGTCAGGGCAGGACTTGAACCCAGTCATCCCCACTGCCCAGACTTGCAATAACTTCTGGATATTCAGGGAAGGGCGTGAGAGCACCCTTCTCTCTTGTAGCTAAGAGCTCTGCCAGTCTCCCGGGTCTGCCATCAGCCCTTGGGGAATCTCATCAGGCCATCTTCGGGCTGTTAACCCAACCAGCCTGGAAATGAAGCCAGACAGGGCTGGTATCAGACTGGCCTCCAGTTAGGGAAATTTTCAGTGTGAAGAATGGAGACCAAGGGTTTGAAACCTGTCACTAAAGGAAGCGTCAGTGCTTAAGATATCTTTGCTTCCAACTCCATTTTCTTTGCTGTCCCTTTTGTCCTCCACATACCCCCATTTTACTAAGTGTTTTCATTTTTAGTTTTCTTAAGGTTGAATGGGTCTCACTTGTAGGATCTCACCACAAAGCAGCCCCTAAAAGGGAAGCCTAGAGTGGGCGGGAATCCCCTCTTCTCCCACCTGTAAAGCTGAACTTCAGGGTCCCCAGGGCACATTCATGGATGTGGCTTCCTGGTCCAGGTCTGTGGGGAAGAGGAGGAGCTAGGGTAAGAGGAAGGCAGAAGAAAGAACACCCCATCAGTGGATATTAAAAAGCCTAGAGCACAACGCCCTGTATTTGTAGTCTGTGATACCTGAGGGGAGGGGCTGGGCAACGGGCTGGGCAACAAGCTGACGCACTCAGTGCAGGCTGGCTGCTAAGAGTCGAGACCCGTGTTAAATGCCAGCTCCAGCCATCCACCACTTCCGCTGGACTTAATCCGGAGAGAGGAGTTGGGAAACATTAGGAAAATCTGACAGCTCTACTTTGAAAACTACAGGTCAGCTAATGCCAAACTGACAAGAAGCTCTGAATGAAGAGGGCACTTTTTGCACTGCCTCATTCAGTCCTAGCAGGTGCTTTCAGGGAAGGTTGTTTAACCCCTTAACAGCTCAGAGAAAAAGGTCTCTAAGCGAT